CATGGGAATGGGATGGGGGTGAGATCTGCCCATGGAATTCCATGGGAATGGGATTGGGGTGAGATCTGCCCATGGAATTCCCACAGGAATTACTGTGTTCCCAAGTCCTCCATTCCCAAATCCCCAATTCCCACAGGGATTCTGCCCCCACCTTTGCGCTCCAGCTCCTCCTGCCCATATCTGACGTATTTCTGGAGATCTTCTCTGCAGGTGTGCTCCACGTAATCCATCCAATGCTCTACATAGTTATTGACACCATTCCAGAGCCTCGTGGTGACCTGGGCAGCGCTGTCGGCCGCCACGAAGCTCCTGGATCCCGGATCGAAGGAGATGAAATCCCACCCGTCGTAGCCATCCCGATAGGATCCACGGACACTCCCGTCAGACAGGAGGTCACAGCCATCAACCCAGTGCACTGTGTGGAGACCTGGGGGAGATTGGACCCACAGAGAGCCATGGAATTGTGTCCCAGACCCACAGAGCCCCATTCCAGTCCTACGGAGCCCCAGAGTCTGATGGAGACCCACAGAGCCTCATCCCAGCCCCTTGGATCCTCATGGATCCACATCCCAAACCCATGGATCACAAGATATCCCACATCAGCCTAATGGATTCCAATTTCAGCCCCTGGGAGCCCAGTTAATCCACATCTGAACCCCATAGATCTCATCTCAGCCCCATGGATCCCCATTCCAGCCCCACAGATTTCCATCGTAACCCCATGGATCCCCACTGCAGCTGCACAGATCCATTGCAGCCCCACAGATCCCATCCCAGCCCCACAGATCGCATCCCAGCCCCATAGATCCCATCCCTGCCCCACAGATCCCCATCCTTAACCCTATGGATCCCCACTGCAGCCCCACAGATCCCATCTCAACCCCATAGATCCCACCCCAGCCCCAGTTCCCATTCAAGCCCCACAGATCCCATTCCAGCCCCATGGAACTCTCCAACCCCACAGATCCCCATCCCAGTCCCATAGTTCCCATTCCAGTTCCACAGATCATCATTCCAGACCCACAGATCCCATCCCAGCCTCACAGATTCCAACCCACCGCCAGCTCCCCCCACTCACCCCTGCTCTGATTGTACTGGCCCCGCAGCGTCTCCAGATCAGCAGCAGTCACATGCTGGTGACTCTTGGAGATCTCAGTCTCCCTATCCCAATATCCCGGCTCGGGTCCGTCCTTCATCCATGGTGTCTGCGGCTCCATCCGGCCCCGCTCGCTGTCGTAGCGCACGAAGGGGATCCCATCCAGGTACCCAATGACCATGAACTGGGGGAGCTCCGGGCCAGGCTCTGACACCGCCACGTGCTGATAACGCAGGGAGTGGAGAACTGGGGGGACACGGAGATTTGGGGGGTCTGGGGGATCATGGATCAATGAAAGGGGGAATGGGAGAGCTGGGAAGGGATTTGGGGATGCGAGGGCCAAGGAGAGGGGGGTACAGGAGAGGGATGGTGGGTGGGACCAAAGGGTCCCTGTGCCAAGGAAAGGGGGTCCGGGGGTCCCCAGTGTCAAGGAAAGAGGGGTCACAGGGTGGGGAGAGCTGGGATACCTGGGAAACAGGGTCCTGGATGTGCTTGATGCAAAGAGGGGGCTGGGGGCTGGGAAAAGCAGGAATGGGGGTCCAGAGCGTCTCAGGGTCAAGGAAAAAGAGGGACTGGGGAAAGCGGGATGGCTGGGAAAGGGGGTGCAGGGGGGATTGGGGCAGGATAAGGGAGAGCAAGGGGGGGTCCCAGTGCCTCGGAATGGAAGTTCAGGGGGGGACATTCCTGGGAATTCCCCTGGATCTCCCCTGGAACCCCATTTGACCACCCCAGGGACCCTTCTGGACCCCCCGGGAACCCACACAGGAAGCACAGGGTGTGAGGAATTGGGGGGACCCAGAGATTGGAGGGGTCTGGAGGTGTCTGAGGGTCAGGAAGCAGAGCTGGGAGAGCCGGGATGGGTCCAAGGTTGGAACTGGGAGAGGGGGCATGGGGGATCCAGGGGATCCCTGTCCCCCAGGAAAGCGGAATCCAGGGGTCCCCGGTGCTGAGGGAAATGGGGTCTGGGTGCTGGGAGAGGCAGGAGTGGGGGTGCAGGGGGTCCCGGGGTCACAGCAAAGGCGGGGTCTGTGGGCTGGGAGGGGCGGGCGGATCCCTGGGGTGCAGTTTGGGAGATGGGAAAGCAGAAGTGACTGAG